TTTGTGTTTATTGTTCAGTTTATCAGTTATTGATTATAAAATATCCATAAAATATGATAGAAAAATGGCCCCTTATGAAAAAGGTTGGAACCACCGAACAACAGCAGACTGTAATCCACTCTGTGTGGGCGTCGGTACATTTGTCCTTTTGGATTTTAACCCATTGAACTTTTTTCTGGAAAACCTTCAAATTGACTTTGACTCATCCACTAATTAAAGATCTCATGATAATTAAAACAGTAAAATAAGTGTTTTCACGACACAAACGTTGAATAAATGTTGTTTATCAGTGTATAAGCATTGGTAAACTGTCCAAATACAGGTTTTTATCATGTAAAAGCAATAATTAACTGTAATTACACAGATAATGTATTACCATATCTTCTTTTAACCTTTTTACTTTGTAAATAAAGTGAACTCAACCTGAGCAGACGCCAATGGAAACACCGGTTCAGTCAGCTGACGCACTGAGCACACACACTTTGGACTGATGAGGCTGTTATGAACTGAGCACAGAGCGGGGTGCGTTCCATTTCTGTCCCAGAGCACGATGACTGTTGTGAACCAAGCCATGCTGCTGCTGCTGGCGGCGGCGCTCGGCACCAACGCAGCACCGGGCCCCGAAGACTGTGGCGGTCTGAACGTAACGCTGCCGCCAAAAGACCTGGACAAGGTGAGTCTGTTTCTGCTCAGCCTGGATCCTGAGACCAGAACTCCAGAACTCCTGAGGGGCTCGGAGGCTCTGTTCCAAACTGGAGGACAGGAGCTGAAACACTGATTCTCACTTTATGGAGATTAGTAAATATGAAATATTAATAATATTAAATAGTAAATGTTTGTACGAGGACCAATGGAACCCCCCGGTTGAGGTGATGTGCAGGTGTACTCCAGGACAGTGTGACATCACTGTTCTCTCAGTGGCAGCCTTAGACCTGTCTGACTCTGCCCCCCTCCTCCTGCAGGTTTTTGGGGACTGGGTTCTGGTCTGGGCCGTCTCTGACAACCTTAGAGCCACGGAGCTGCTGGAAAACCTGACCAGCTCCGTCATCGAGCTCCGACTCCTCCCTGACAACTCCACGGTCGTCTACAACGAGAGGAACTTGTTCCAGTGAGTGCGTACACACTGCTGGGGAAGCTAACTCTGACGTGAGCCTGTCGGTGTGAGTCAGCAGGTTGTTGCGTTGTCTGACTGTTTCCTGCTGTGTCACCTTTAGGGATAAGTCGTGCACTAAGTACTTCATCAACATGTCGATGCCCTCTGACTCCGACTCTGCTGCTCCTCTGCGCAGTGTCGGCGGCTGTGAGTCGCACTTTCTTTGCTTTGTCATTACGAATGTTTTTAGTTTTTTATCAACCATAAAGTGACAATAATAATATGTTTTGGTGATATAATTAGATTATTTTGATAATAATAATAATAATAATAAAAATAATTGTAATAAAAACACAGGGAAAGAAAGATACACAAAGAATATTACTGTGTTCCGTATGTTGTGTTAATGTTGTTTACAGAAGAGGATTAGGACCACATGTGAAAACTTTATTTAAGTTCTGACTTTCAAGTAAAAAAGGCACATTTCTGACAATAAAGTCCAGTTCAAAGTCAGAATTATTATTATTAGCATTATTATTCTGACTGTAAAGTCAGAATTCTGAGTTTAAGTTGTTGTTGTTGTTGTTTACATGTTGTTTGTGTGTTAGCGTTCCACAAGGACGGGGTGTTGAGTGAGTTCAATGACCCTGGGAAAGTGGAGTTCTTTGTGAGCTGCTCCGACTGTCTGATGATGGTCTACAGAGGAGACATTGGCAACTACCTGCTGAGCTACAGTAAACACACTCTTACATCCTGGAACCTTACTCCTTCATTACTGCAACACCTTCACCTCACTGTGTGTGTGTGTGTCAGGGAGGGAGGGGCAGCATCAGGATGTGGAGCAGTTGAAAGCGTCCCACACTGATAACAAGAAGCTGGCTGAGTGTCTGAGATTCCCTCACGACAAACCGTTCATCTACAACGGAGCTGCAGGTCAGTTCCTGTGGACGGGCGTCAGGTAGACAGGTAGACAGGTAGACTGGTAGACTGGTAGACAGGTCAGGTCCTGTGGATAAAATAACTGGAATCTGTCATTTTAATCTTTGTTCTGTGTCTTTAATCTCTTCAGTGACGTTTGTAGTTTTTATGTGTCTGTGTCTCCGCTCTCTCTGTCTCACTATCTGTCCTCTGTCTGTCTGTCTGAAACGGGCTGTACAAATAAAGTTGTATTGACTGATGTGGATTGGTGGAGGCAGGGGCGGAGGGAGGGGTGGAAGTCTCCCCCCTCCGACCCCCTGGGTGAATTTCTGTGGTTCTGCAGCACACATTAGAAATAAAGACAATCAATAACGTCCTCTTGTCTCCTTGCAGAGTTCTGTCCTGAGAAAGAGGCGGAGAAGCTTGAAAGCCCCTGAGTGAAGAGGTCGATCGGACACAATCAGTAATCAATCAACCAATCAATAACAAATGAAATAAAAGCCAATACTGAAACCTGATGTTTGTGTTTACTTCCTACATTGAAGATTTCACCAAGAGTCAAAGTATTATCAGCAAAATGTCAAAATTAGTAAGTCTTATTACTATTTATTATTATTATTATTATTGTTGTGTCGTTGTTGTCTGTTGTGTTATTATTATGTGTATTACTGAACAGCATTATGTGTTAATGTTTGCGACCCCTGTGAAGCTTTGGCAGACCCGTAGTGGGGCCCGACCCCAGGTTTGGAACCGCTGCTTTTATTTTGATTCTTTGATTATGGGATGTCTGGCAGTCTAATGTTTGGGCAAAATAAAAAAAAAAAAACTCAAACCATGTTTACTCTGGTAATACATCCATAACTGACTGGTATGTGTGAAGGCCGTCGACTCAATGTCCATTCCTGTTTTTCGACCAATAAAAACATTTTGATGGTAAAAATAAAAATTGTAAAATAAAAAAAGGCAGAAAATTTAATGAATTCCATATTAAAATACAGTTTTAGCTTTAATTTTACATCCTGTTGTAATTGTGTTGGCTTTTTAATGTTTAAATAATAAATTAATAAAATTACAGCTTATTTAAAGAAAAATCTCTCTTGTTTATATCACTGAAAAAGACAAATAACAAGTTAAATATTCAAAGAATTTTTTAGAGAATATTAATATTATACTGTTTTATAAATTAACTTTAAATTAAGTTAAAGCTGTTAATTGCTGTATTCTTTGTAACTCTATTAAGGTCTTCCTGCCAATAAATGTACATTAATGGAATTGTCCATTATAGTAAGAATTAGCGTCCTCTTGTTCAATCAAATAATATCAATGAAACCGTACAGCAGTTTGTGGACATTATTGATATTGGATATTGATCTTCTGGTATATAAATAACTGATCTACCAACATTATATTAAATATATTTCTACGAAACAGCGGCTGTGGTCAGAGTGCATAGCGGGTCGTCCCCTATAATCTGGAAGGATGTTGGGTTCGATTCCAGGCTCCTTCTGCCACGTATCAGTATCCTTGAGCAAAAATACTGAACCCCAAGATTGTGTGTGAAAGGGTGAATGTGGCACGTATGTAAAATGTGCTTTGAGTGGTCCGAGACTAGAAAGAGCTGTGACATAGTACAGGTCCATTAACGCTTACTTTAACCAGTTTGTTGTTTTGATTTTGTGTTTTTATTGGAATATTGTGTTTAACTGTATATATATATATATATAGTATGGATTTTATTTATATATATGATAAATTAATTTCATATATTTTTTGAATTATTACTTGATGTCTATATAATATATTTATAAATACATTTATACATTATGTAACGGGTCATTTAATAGTCAGTGTGCGACCTCACCGACAGCAGGCGGCGGTAAAGCGCCTGATCTGTGACGTCGAACGGCCCGACCCCACAGATGTCGCTGTGTCGTCACTCCAGCAGGTATTTGAATGATGTGAGTCGGTAATCGAAGCTAGTTTGTGGGAGAATGGAACGAAATCGGGTCAGTCTCTCTCTGAGCGGCGGCAGCGGCCGGCAGCGGCCGGCGGACGAGCTGCGGGCCGGTCCGACACACACTGTGGAG